TTGGAACTAGTTATGTGTTTGAGATGATAAAAACAAGAGTGGCATTGGCTCATAGGTTAAGGAAATTTCCCTTCTGCTCTTTTTGGTCATCTTATTTTGTTTACTGCTGCTGTCAATATGTGGACTTATTTATAGAAGGCTGGATAATATTATTCTCCTCTGAATTCTTATTTTGCATATTATATTGCATATTCCATGTTTTGCTAAAATTATATACAAATAACAAATGAACATTTTGTGATTTATGGGGCTTTTCTGTGTGTGTGTGTATTTGTAAGTTTAATGTTCTACATAGCAATATATATACATATGTGTATGTATATATATATTATTGTCCATGAACATAGAAATTATATTAGTTTCTCCAAATATTATCGTTTTTTTTTTAAGTTTAAAGTTTTACGTAGCATGCATGTGCTACTAAATATGTATTTTACTGGTTCTCAAAAAAGAAAAAAAATTATTTTGTTGAGGATGCCTATGAAGATCTATGTCGACATCGTCAGAGATAATTGTCTTGTTTATGAAAGACTAATGAACTGTCTGAGGCTTCATCGTTGATCGATTAATGAAAATTTGATTTGAACTTAATTTTCTATATGTTTTGTTACGTAATTAGTTCTCTTATTTTTTGCTTATTTAATTACGGCTCTTCATTGTTTTCTTTTCTTGAGATGAACAAATCATATATATTCCAAACACTACTTTCAAAGAAAAATTTTCTCTTCCTTCTATTTGCGTCGGTTTTTTCATATAAATAGGGAGGAAGAACTAACTTTGAATCTCGCCCAATAAAAGTACCACTAAAGTAAACTCTAAATCTCATCAAGTGAGATATACAATTTGAACGTGACGCACAATAAAGTTTTATGGGTTTTGCTATATGATCATTAATCCCGATTATATTACAAGAATTGAAATAAGTAGAAATGAAAAAGAGTCTTTGAGACGCATGCAGAAGTAATTGTCTGTTGGTCCTTATTGAGATGGCCTGCATATGTATGAATGCAAGGGAAAAGCCCCTCACATGAAGTTGGGCGCTCTGAAGGCCAAGGTTGAAAGTGATGCAACAATTGGTACGTACATCTTTTGCAACACCTTCATGCCACTGCTTTTGTAATCCACTTTCGAAATAGCTGCATTTTCCAACAGTTCCCAATTAATAATGTTTTCTTACTGTATTATATTGTCAGACTGTAAATCCGAGCTACACATTTAAGGTATAAATTAATCTGATCAATGGTTTAAATCCACATTCTGGTAGGAGAACCTTTCCGTCTTTCTTGATATACCGTTGTGTTAATATATATCTAGAGAAGAGTACCTGTATTAATATTCTTACATCCCTCTCAATGATGGTTGTGTTGACAACATGCACAGTGGCATTGTTATGAAACCAGAAGTCTTCTTTTCAGAGGTAGATACATTTAAGCACATCCAAGGCGTGGGCGGAGCAGGCTGAGCTGCAGTATTCTCCGGTCTCATTTGCGGGCACGTCCACGATTCCTGAGAATGTCAGCTGGCCCCTTGGCGAGCAATGAGAAGGTGCCTAATATTAAAAAACACCCATCAAACACTTCAAATTTCTTCTTCTAGGTTGATTCATTGAGGTCATAATATATTTTCAATATTTTATTATTCAGACGAATTATTTTTGTTCATCTAATTTTAAGTCAAAGTTGCAAAAGTTAAATCACAAGCTAAAAAACAATTAAGCCACCCAGAAAGACAGTAAATGTTGAACAAAAAAAATTGGTCAAGTCATTGAATTTCCACAATTCGAAAGGTTTTTCCGACTTGAACTAAATTTCATACACACACACACACACAGTGCCACCTATGTATGTACTGCAAAATATATTATTATTTGCTAAACATAACACGTCAAATTGTCAATCCAGTTTCTAAATTCATCATGTCGGATAAATATGCTTTATTAGTCATTATAAATAGATGTGTTTTTAGTGTTTTTAACTCTTACCATTAATATCGTATTCAAGGGTGGCTGACTATGAATTATTGGTAACCAGGAGATCAAAAGAACGATTTACATGTCCGATATCATGTAACAAATAAAACTTCGTATGTACACACGTTTGTGTGTACGTGGGCTTACTGTTCTGTTAGTGCAATAGTAAGCACTTCTCCAAGCCCAGATTGGACTTAGATTTACGTTGTCAGTAGGGTCTGTTTTATCTGAAAATTAAACCAAACATATCATCAGCACAAATAATTCACTCTTCGCCTTTTGCATGCATGCAATCTTCACTCCAAATATAAATTATAAACAACTCTTTCACAATTTTCTGTTTCAGATCATATACAAAATAACGATGAAATAGGAGAGAATACATACCGAAGGCCTGAGCATATTGAAACAGAAGGAAGATCCCCAAAGAAAACCAAACCAACTTAATTCTTCCCCCAATTTCCATCACTTAACAAACCGCGTGCGTCTTTTTCTTCCAAAAAATTATTTGGGTTGAGTCTAAGAGAAAATTTATGTACTACTGAAACATTTATAACATGAACGAGCCGTCGATTTATGCATTATAATTAGAGCTGAAAATTGAATCATTGGCAAAGAATCAAGTGAATGATGTGAATTGATCATGTCGCCTTCAGTATATGCTGAGCATATATTTAGCAACACTGAAATTGGTCTAACCAAGGATAATAAAACAAAGTGTAAATTTCGGTAGACAACTAGCTACTTTGGCACTTTGTGATGATAAAAAAAAGAGTGATAACAAGGATGGACACTATTCGTCTCCTCTATTTTATAATTTCTTGTTATCACACGTATTTGGTTAAGATTTCATATAGAATGGAACGTTTCACTATTAACCACACTGATATTATCCACTAATTTTCATCTTACCACGCACAACATAGCAAGGGTGGGGGTTTTAGTAATTATAAGTAGAATCATTCGTTATACATTGTATTTTATTTTGTCAATCTTTCAACATGAGGTTCTCGTATTTTTCAAGACACATGAAATTTTTTTGTTTTTATATTCACTCCTATGATTATAACTACTATTAAATCAATGTCAATAAAATTTGTCAATATATATTTCAATTGTCTCATTCTAATTTCTAATTGAAACTTTATGAACTTTCGTTATTTGATTTTTTTTTTTCGGACGAAAGCTCATTTCATAAAGCCCAAAACAGGCAACAACAAATACAAGAGAGGCCGAAAAAAAGCCGAACAAAAAACACAAATTACACAGGATAGTGATTTCGATACAAACTAGGAAACATGAAAGTCTACCTAGAAACAGACAAAACACTTTCAGCACCCTAATGGTGACCAAAAGAAGGGGAGGCTGATAGAACTTAGCCATCAGACTGCAGCCAAAAAAAAGCCTACGGGCTGCATGGGAGCCCGTCACGAGAGCGAACCAAGACGAGTGAGGGAGGAGGCGTAGCTGCCCAGGAGATATTGCGCACCCTCGAATCGGTCAAAGTATCTGCCATGTGAGCAGCTTGATTCAGAACGAGGAATCCAGCTCCATTCAACGGAGCTAAATGAGGAGGCAATCCAACGAAGGAGTTACTCCCGATTATAGTAAGGTTGTAGTTAGAGGGGGCGTTCAGGGGGAGCGAAATGTGCAATCGCATAGGGTCCCAAATTTGAAAGGATCTCTAAATTTTTGTGATCTAACATCATATAATAATGTTCTATATTTAAAAAAAAAAAATCTTTTGATAGCACTTTAAAACCACATTGTACACTCTTCATTAGAGATTTTTTTTAAATCTCTAAATAAAAAAATTTGGAGTATAATGAGATATTTTGAGTGTCTAATAACACCCTAAAAATGAAAGTTTCTTAATTTTATTATATAACAACAGTATATGTTCATGTAAAACTTTAAAGTTAGAGGTTTGAAGTTTTTTTTTTTTATGTTTGATTGCTTAAGATAAAACTGCTTTTGATTATTTAGTGAAGGTTTGTAGATCTTTTTACTTATCATTAAAGACACTTGTAAACATACAATCAGTGAGTGTTCAGTTTGTTTTTAGTATTTTATTTTTTTAACAAACGATATTATATACACTATGGGGTGTAGGAGTGGGGGTGTAGGAGTGGGCTAAGCCTCACAGTGGGTTAATAATAATGTGGTTCAAATTCGCTTTTGACGATAATAATGTGGTTCAAATTCGCTTTTTTTATGTTTGATTGCTTAAGATAAAACTGCTTTTGATTATTTAGTGAAGGTTTGTAGATCTTTTTACTTATCATTAAAGACACTTGTAAACATACAATTAGTGAGTGTTAAGTTTGTTTTTAGTATTTTATTTTTTTTAACAAACGATATTATATACACTATGGGGTGTAGGAGTGGGGGTGTAGGAGTGAGCTAAGCCTCACAGTGGGTTAATAATAATGTGGTTCAAATTCGCTTTTGACGATAATTAAACCTAAAACCTCTTATTTCCAAGTGAATAAGAACACCACTAGACCGTAGTTGTCACATCCCGGTCCGGGCCCCCACCACATCCCAGGCTCAACTCCGCCGTAGCACGATATTGTTCGCTTTGGGCCCCGACCACGCCCTCACGGTTTTGTTTCTGGGAACTCATACGAGAACTTCCCAGTGGGTCACCCATCATGAGATTACTCTTGCGCGAACTCGCTTTACTTCGGAGTTCCGATGGAACCCGAAACCAATGAGCTCCCAAAAGGCCTCGTGCGAGTAGAGATAAGAATATACATATAAGGCTTACAGGATCCACTCCCCTGGGCGATGTGAGATGTTACAATAGTACTAAGTGGCTTTGTTTTGATTTAAGTAAATGTTTTCTAGTATTAATACATTGTCATACCTTTTTTAAAATTTAAAACTATCTTAAGGAGGGACTCTTTTACAAATTTCGCATAGGGCCCCCAAAATCTTAGAGATGGCCCTTGTTGTAGTGGTTGGCTCTAGCTACTTTGAGAGACTTCTAAGCACAGGTTCAGCTTCCGCTGCGTCAGACGAAGCACAATAGGAGAAAAAGGAAGCACATTTTATTGAGTTCAATGGTTCTACCAATGTGACAAAAATTAAGATAGAGTTTGCAATTCCAAAATTTTAAGCACATTTGATGGAAGCCAATGCTTTAACCAACAAACCAAAGAGCAAAATGGGGGTGGAGAAAAACGGGCTATGATCGCTTTGGAGAACAAAGACCTGGGATGGTGGCCATCTCTTGATCATGGCATCTTGCTGCTCAAGCTTTAGAACATGGTCATGCATGGTCTTGATGTACACTCTTGGCACACGATCAGCAGCTTCCTTGTTTCCTTGAAAGCGAGCGCCTTTCAACGCCATAACAGGTCCTGGCCTCAGCAGCATTGAAGCTAAAGTTGCGTCCTAAAACATAATTCAATGCCAAATAATATTAGAATATGAATACATCTATTTTAACAAATGATAGGACAATTTACACTAAATTCATATAAGTTACAGAGATGATGATTCGAATGAGAATATGAATACATTACCTTGCTAGATTGTGCTTAAATTTATTGTGTTCCTGTCTGCCTTAAAATGGCAAAAAATAAGAGAAAAATCCAACCCTGTGATACCAGACAAATTCAATATATGTGGGCATATACATGAGATGGGCTGTTGTGTCATGTTGGTTTGGGGACATTGACATTTTGTCTGCCTGCTAGCTAGCTGCAGTTAACAGTGCAGTTATGCATATTTTGTATAGCTAGGCCGTAATGCACTGGACTGGTTTATATTCAACTGTAATTGCATTCAGTTATAGTACAATTTAAAGAGAGTACAATAGGGGTTGCTCTAAATTTGGAACAAGATAACGTTTCGCATTGTTTCAACAAGTGACGTTTTATGATCAAGAGTGAAGGTTGAATTGGATTCAGTTGGATGGTACCAACAAAATCTCGCACTAAAGCCCTTTTTCTTATTGAATTAACGAATCAACTTAACTTGTTAACGACTATTTATTTTCAATTTCAGTAAGTTCCGTAAAAAATTTCGATCTCTATATAAGAAGGAAATGTACTGTATAGTAATGGTATTGCTTACCTCTATAGGGCTCATCTGGTACAAGATTTGGTGATGAAAATTTTCCTTTATTATGACACTAGTTGGAGGCTGGTCAACTCCCAACCCATATATGAACTTGTTTACGTTTCCAAATGCCGATAAGTCAGGTTCTCCCTGTCCATAAATACAGGAAATTGATTAAATATAAATGTCAATGCAGGCTTGCTTGAACACCAAGGCAACTTAGTTTTCACAGCGCTACTCAAGAAACCTTTTGTCAAATCTCCTTAGACTTCTAGTACTATTTGACTTCTATACCGATAAGGAACCTTATGATCGAAAGTGCACAACATTAACAATCCACCAAAACTTTACAGAAATTTCCACTGAAATATCTTTAAAATCTTCCAGATTTACCAGATATTGGACCTAATTATAAATTTTTTATCGAAATTGTCGATGTTGCATAAATATCTCCAAAATTTCAGAGAAATTCAAGAAAAAATATTGCTTCGCCTCCTTTTGAATATCGGCGAGAACCCCATTTAACGAATATATCGAGAGATATTCTGGTAATGACAAAGGTATTTAATTCATCCAACAGGGATCCTCTTTGTGAGGATCCTGGAGATCAGTAAATCGTGTTCATTCATCGCACATCGTGCAGTCAGTTTTATCAGGTATTCTTTGTGTTTAATTTTAAATAACAAAATTTAAAATAATTTCTGACCGTACGATGTATAATGAACGGACATGATTCATGGATTCCTAGAATCATCACAAAAAATCCGGCGAGGATCCGAATTTTTAATTCATGGCCTATAAATTATAATATGTAAGTTTGCCTATTTTTCCGTGTAAATAAAGGGAAAAGACAAGAAAATTACGTAGTATAGCACTTGAACTCCGAAGAACTTTTCTTAAAAATGAAGAGGATTTTAATAAGAAGAAAAATGGAATAGAAGAAATTAATATTCTTACATCTATGATATCTTGATGTGTGGAAAATCCATGCTCCAACATGGTTGCTGCAACATATATCGCCATATGTATTTTGCTAGCAAACCTGTGTATGGCATCAGTCAGGCTCATACCTCCTGCACTATGTCCCACGAGTATTACCTACCAAAACAGTGTTAAACCACACAAACTTAATCCATATAACATAATATACAATCTCTTGTAACATTAGTCTCATTAAACCTGCCCTACACTTCTTTGTATGCATATAAGAGAAATGCTAAGGGCAATCGCGTCTACTCAATTGTTGATGAGTGTGTGGGTGTTAAAAGGTGAAATTCACACTGACCGGTGACATTGAGACCGATATTGATCAAGTGCGCGACTATCCATAACAAAACGTATGCATAGAGATACCCACCCTTTCATTTCCTGGCAAACTGGACAAGAAGTCAGTGAGAGGCTGATTGTAGTCTTGGAAAGTGAGGACGGTATTAGGGTCAGATTGATCAACACCAGCACCTTTGAGGTCAAGACATGTGACTTTGTAGCCTGAAGCTTCCATTAGACACCGGATCTTGTACCAGCACCAAGCTCCATGCCCGATACCATGGATCAGAACCAAATGATGATGATGAGGATGATGATAGTTTGGTAATATTCCACTCATTGTACTCTCCTTCTCTGCCATTGGTCTTCCTCCTGACATACTAGCTAGCTTCAAATTTTGTTTTAGTTTCCCTATCTCTCAAGTTCCAACGCTTTGTGTATGTATAAATATCTAATCTTTTATTTTGTTATATATTATATATAAGGCGTGCATATGCATGTATGTGTGTCTAGTTGCATGTGATTAAGTTACGCAGGAACTAGAAGACCAAGTGGGTTGCGTTACCCAGGTAGCTATGGAACAAAAATACCTATATTTGAGAGTTGAGACAGCCTTATGGATAATGTTTCTTAACACAATTGTTGTCTATTATTTCGTCAGTTATCATATGTCTCCTTATTATCAGGTATGCATACGTAGCTAATAGTTACAAGTATATCCAATAAAAAAAAATTCTCATGTACAAGCTAACCTTATCCTTTTTCCCCTTTGCTATATTTAAGCAATGAAGATAGAGTAAGAAATAGTAATGCTAACGATATAACATGTCGTACTATTATTTGAATTTGTACACGCTCATTTTAGTTTCTCATATATTCTTTTTTATTTTAACCGTTATATTAAATATATTACATGAAAAATAATAAATAAGATTAAATAAGAATGTGTAGGAAAGAAAAAGAGGTGTATCTATTATTTTTCTATTTGAATATCACATATGATATAATGGATATTGTCACATCCGCCCAGGGCTCGACTCCACCGTAGCATGATATTGTCCGCTTTGAGCCCCGACCACGCCCTCAAGGTTTTGTTTCTGGAAACTCACACGAGAACTTCCCAGTGGGTCACCCATCATGGGATTGCTCTCGCGCGAACTCGCTTAACGAACCCGAAGCCATTGAGCTCCCAAAAGGCCTCGTGCTAGGTAGAGATGAGAATATACATATAAGGCTTACATGATCCACTTCCCTAGGCGATGTGGGATGTTATAGATACAACTAATAAGTAACAAAATAAAGTTATTGACTAACATTTGCACCATGCGGTTTTCAAATATGACACAAAAATATGACCTCCTTAATATTATAGGACCGAAAAAATATATCCGAAGTGATTTACACATTATGATTAATAAGTGATTAACACATTCAATATGTTATTTGTTTTTCTTGAATTAACATACCAATAAACGTTAGTGGATTATTTTTCGTTCAACATTTTGTGGATTAAGTTAATTAGTAATATATATTAATCATGTTCAGGCACTCATCTGATTAAGATTTGGAATTTTTTTTCGGACTCAAATTTTCTCCCTCTATACTCAATTTATAATTATTTATTTTTTTGACATCCCAAATTTATCTGGAAAATGGTTTTAGAAAATAAAAGAAGAAAATGAAAAAGCGACTTGGTATTGCATCTCCAATTAGGTTGCATGGTGTGTCTCTCTCGGTGCCATCCTTAAAAGAATGGTTGTTACAACTAGCAGAGGAACGGGTGGAGGACTTTGGCATGGTAATGATGGTTATGTGGGGATTGTTGAAGACAAGGGAAGGAATGCTTGGATTTGGGATGTCTCCTTTATAATCCACAAGCTGCTGTCTTGAATTGGTACTGGGAGTACCGAAGGAAGAATACTACGGTGACATCGCATAAGATGCTGCCTCTCTCTAGGTGAACTTGAATTCTCTTCCCTCATATTTCTCTTCCCTTCATCCCCCCTTTAATCTAGACCGGTCAAAAGAAATCCGATAGCTTAAAATTATGTCGCATATTTAATGACCCTTATTTTTTTTATTGTTTTTGTTCAACAATCTTTTCTTTTATGCACCACTCTTCACACCACCACTTACCCTCTTCCTCTTTCACATGCCAACCGCCATTAAGAGAAATCATCCAATCAAGCGAATTTATTTAATCTCAACCATTAATATTAGTCCGACAATTTGTGAATTAAACCAATTAGATGTTCAAAATCAAAGAGTTTAGATCATTCAATAGAAATGACTAACGCCCAACATAGCATAATCAGAATTTTTGTTGGAGCACTAGGCTAATAGAAGAGTGGCTTGAAAGCCTTTCGGCGATCTGGGGGTATTTCTGTGAAGGGGTGGAGATAGGATTGATCGGAGGTATTTTCTACTAATGACCTGTTTTTTCTTCATTCTTTCTAACCATTTTGAATGTGCAACAAAATTGTGATTTCATAATAAAAAAATTATAAGTTGATTGTAGAAGGGGAAAAGTTGGGTTTGAATAAAATTTCCTTAAGGTTGTCATAACACATAACATATCATGTTCTAAAAGTTAATATGCGTGTCATTTACTTACATGTAAGATCCTATTAAAACATGTCATATGCTTACATATATTTTGTCGTCCTATTAACCATAATAACATGATAATATATATTTTGTAAGTGAATGATAAGTTCAATACTAATTTATTATGCCGATCCATTGTGTTATTTGGATTAATCACATAACAGTTTTTTTTTTTGGGTGATGCTACTTACACATTTTTTTTTTTTACCTTTCACAGACTCCTTGTTTATTTATATTTATTGATTACCTTCAATTCATACGATTCGACGATCGAAAGTTCTTAAAATGAAATCAAATATAAACATACATAAAAAAGATTATCAACCTAATTCATACAAAAAACATTTGTATCAAAAGTGAAATTCCTACACAAAATTTTTAGTTTACAATAACGAATGTGGTATGTATTATGAAATTTTTGTTGTTGAAGCAAATGCCTTACGTAAAGATCGGGACGGAAAACGAGTCCACATCAATTCTTGATGTAAATGTTGAGGAAATCAATTTCTTTTGGCAGTGATTTCATGTGGAAGAAATTGAAAAAGATAGGAGAAATACGTCTTATGATAATTCTATGTCAACTAGAAATTTATAAGTTATAACCAAGGAAGAAAATATCGATAATATCGCGATATTACCGATAATATGCTTCGCCTGAGGGTTTCGTTTCCAACGAGGAGGTACCGAATCAGAGTCTCCGGGTAAAAGGGGACGACGTTGGTGTGGACCCAATGGTCGGCGAGCGTCTGATTGGAGGCGGTGAGGATTTTGGGGTTGGCGTCGTAGAGGTTGACTCGCTTGGCCTTGAGAGACTGGATGAGCTTCACCGACTGCGATGGTGGCGGGAGGTTGTTGCCCAGCTGGCCGTAGTTCACACCCACCTTGGAGGCGAGCTCCGCACTTGAAAAAATCAAAAGGGGTGAGAGAAAAATACCAAATGAACAAAACCCATGTCGCCATTTTTGAGATTTTGGGGAAGAAACTTACTGGAAATGGAAACTGAGAGGCAGAGGATGAGCAGGGGGAGAAAACCCATCTCCATTTTTTGTGGATTTTGAGCTGCCAGAGTAACTAAAAGATGAGCTTTTCCTAATTGCGTGAGTTTTGGAGCAGAAAGAGGTGATCTAGAGCTCAAAGATTGGATCTTTGAGGAAAAAATAAGAGATAAAATGAAGGAACTAGGGCGCACTGAACTGCTGCTACTGGACCCTTGTATAAAAGGAAGGAGTGAGATGTTGCAGGTGTTTGAGGAGTGAAAGAAGATTGGGAATAGAAAAGATAAAGAAAAAAAGAAAGGGACGAGAGAGAGAGAGAGTGAGTAGATAACTTTATAGAAAATATAAAGAAAAGAAGAAAGGGACGAGAGAGAGAGAGAGAGAGAAAGAGAGAGAGAGAGAGAGAGCAGATGGAATGGAAGGATGGAAGGAAAGAATAAAAGGTTAGACTCTTTTTGGGGTTTATTATTAAGTTAACGAGGCTTACTAATTTGCTTGGTTTCCATCAAATCCAAAAATACTTGAAAAATTGTGTGTTTAGATTTCTTTCATTAATTACTACATATTTTCTACACTCACAATGTTTGTCAGCTCGCTATATAATCAACTTGATAATGTTAAATCCATCATGCAATGCATTTCCTTCCAATTTTTTGTGATAAACTAATAGATAATTGATTAAATAAACATCCTGCAAAGTTTCAATAAAAATTTCCAAGTTTTTCTTACAATTTCCGTGGTTTTCATGTAATTTTTATCGATATCGATATTTCCATCGATATTTCCGTGTTTTCGGATTACCGATATTTCCGATATTACCGATATTTTCTTCCTTGGTTATAACCAACAAAATAAATAAACTAGAAAATTATTAACCAAAAGAATTAAAAAAAAATTTAAAAAATTTAAAAAAATTAAAATGGACGGCAGATATTGCCCCAACTATGCAGGAAGCTGCGAAGGGTCACATGTCACATGTCACATGTTTTGGTTAATTGAAAGAGTGATGAGATTGACATCAACCTCCATTCATCATACATTATGCAGTCAGTTTTATCAAATATTTTTTATGTTTAATTTTAAATAAAAAAATTTAAAATGATTTCTAACCGCACGATATACAATGAACAGACATGATTCATAGATTCTCAGAATCCTCACAAAAAAGACCCGGCTAGGATCCGAATTCTTAATTCATGGCCTATAAATTATAATATGTAAGTTTGCCTATTTTTCCGTGTAAATAAAGGGAAAAGACAAGAAAATTACATAGTATAGCACTTGAACTCCGAAGAACTTTTCTTAAAAATGAAGAGGATTTTAATAAGAAGAAAAATGGAATAGAAGAAATTAATATTCTTACATCTATGATATCTTGATGGGTGGAAAATCCATGCTCCAACATGGTTGCTGCAACATATATCGCCATATGTATTTTGCTAGCAAACCTGTGTATGGCATCAGTCAGGCTCATACCTCCTGCACTATGTCCCACAAGTATTACCTACCAAAACAGTGTTAATCCACACAAACTTAATCCATATAACATAATATACAATCTCTTGTAACATTAGTCTCATTAAACCTGCCCTACACTTCTTTGTATGCATAATATACAATCCATATCAGTCTCAATTGTTGATGAGTGTGTGAGTGTTAAAAGGTGGAACACACACTGACCGATGATATTGAGACCGATATTGATCGAGTGCACGACTATCCCTAACAAAACGTATGCATAGAAATACCCACCCTTTCATTTCCTGGCAAACTGGACAAGAAGTCAGTGAGAGGCTGGTTATAGTCTTGGAAAGTGAGGACGGTATTAGGATCAGATTGATCAACACCAGCACCTTTGAGGTCAAGACATGTGACTTTGTAGCCTGAAGCTTCCATTAGACACCGGATCTTGTACCAGCACCAAGCTCCATGCCCTATACCATGGATCAGAACCAAATGATGATGATGAGGATGATGATAGTTTGGTAATATTCCACTCATTGTACTCTCCTTCTCTACCATTGGTCTTCCTCCTGACATACTAGCTAGCTTCAAATTTTGTTTTAGTTTCCCTATCTTTCAAGTTCCAATGCTTTGTGTATGTATAAATATCTAATCTTTTATTTTGTTATATATTATATATAAGGCGTGCATATACATGTGTGTGTGCGCGCGCGCGCGTCTAGTTGTATGTGATTAAGTTACGCAGGAACTAGAAGACCAAGTGGGTTGCGTTACCCAGGTAGCTATGGAACAAAAATTCCTATATTTGAGAGTTGAGACAGCCTTATGGATAATGTTTCTTAACACAATTGTTGTCCATTATTTCGTCAGTTATCATATGTCTCCTTATTATCTGGTATGCATACGTAGCTAATAGTTACAAGTATTTCCAATAAAAAATATCTCATGCGCTAACCTTATCCTTTGTCCCCTTTGCTATATTTAAGCAATGAAGATAGAGTGAGAAATAGTAATGCTAAGGATATAACATGTCGTACTATTATTTGAATTTGAACACTCTCATTTTAGTTTCTCATATATTCTTTTTTATTTTTAACTGTCATATTAAATATATTACATGAAAAACAATAAATAAGATTAAATAAGAATGTGTAGGAAATAAAAAGAGGTGTATCTATTATTTTTCTATTTGAATATCGCATATGATATTATTTTTCTATTTGAATATCACATATGATATAATGGATACAACTAATATGTAACAAAATAGAGTTATTGACTAACATTTGCACCATGCGGTTTTCAAATATGACACAAAAATGTGAGCTCCTTAACATTAGAGGACCGAAAAAATATATCTGAGGTGATTTACGTACATTATGATTTGTAATATATCTTAATCATGTTCAGGCACTCATCTGATTAAGATTTGGAAATTTTATTCAGACTCAAATTTTCTCCCTCTATACACAATTTATAATTATTTATTTTTTTGACATCCAAAATTTATCTCATATGGAAAATGGTTAGAAAATAAAAGAAGAAAATGAAAAAGCGACTTGGTATTGCATCTCCAATTAGGTTGCATGGTGTGTCTCTCTCGGTACCATCCTTAAAAGAAAGGTTGTTACAACTAGCAGAGGAACGGGTGGAGGACTTTGGCATGGTAATGATGGTTATGTGGGGATTGTTGAAGACAAGGGAAGGAATGCTTGGATTTGGGATGTCTCCTTTATAATCCACAAGCTGCTGTCTTGAATTGGTACTGGGAGTACCGAAGGAAGAATACTACGGTGACATCGCATAAGATGCTGCCTCTCTCTAGGTGAACTTGAATTCTCTTCCCTCATATTTCTCTTCCCTTCATCCCCCCTTTAATCTAGACCGGTCAAAAGAAATCCGATAGCTTAAAATTATGTCGCATATTTAATGACCCTTATTTTTTTTATTGTTTTTGTTCAACAATCTTTTCTTTTATGCACCACTCTTCACACCACCACTTACCCTCTTCCTCTTTCACACGCCAACAGCCATTAAGAGAAATCATCCAATCAAGCGAATTTATTTAATCTCAACCATTAATATTAGTCCGATAATTTGTGAATTAAACCAATTAGATGTTCAAAATCAAAGAGTTTAGATCATTCGATAGAAATAACTAACGCCCAACATAGCATAAGCAGAATTTTTGTTGGAGCACTAGGCTAATAGAAGAGTGGCTTGAAAGCCTTTCGGCGATCTGGGGGTATTTCTGTGAAGGGGTGGAGATAGGATTGATCGGAGGTATTTTCTACTAATGACCTGTTTTTTCTTCATTCTTTCTAACCATTTTGAATGTGCAACAAAATTGTGATTTCATAATAAAAAAATTATAAGTTGATTGTAGAAGGGGAAAAGTTGGGTTTGAATAAAATTTCCTTAAGGTTGTCATAACACATAACATATCATGTTCTAAAAGTTAATATGCGTGTCATTTACTTACATGTAAGATCCTATTAAAACATGTCATATGCTTACATATACTTTGTCGTCCTATTAACCATAATAACATGATAATATATATTTTGTAGGCGAATGATAAGTTCAATACTAATTTATGATGCTACTTACACACTTTTTTTTTACCTTTCAAATACTCCTTGTTTATTTATACTTATTGATTACCTTCAATTCATACGATTCAATGACCGAAAGTTCTTAAAATGAAATCAAATATAAACATACATAAAAAATATTATCACCCTAATTCATAAATAAAACATTTGTATCAAAAGTGAAATTCCTACACAAAATTTTTAGTTTACAATAACGAATGTGGTATGTATTATGAAATTTTTGTTGTTAAAGCAAATGCCTTACGTAAAGATGGGGACGGAAAACGAGTCCACATCAATATGGACCATAAATTTAATTCTTGATGTAAATGTGGAGGAAATCAAATTCTTTTGGCAGTGATTTCAAGTGGAAGAAATTGAAAAGGATAGGAGAAATACGTCTTATGATAATTCTATGTCAACTAGAAATTTATAAGTTATAAGTTATAACCAACAAAATAAATAAATTAGAAAATTATTAACCAAAAGAATTAAAATTTTTTTTTTAAATGGACGGCAGATATTGCCCCAACTATGCAGGAAGCTGCGAAGGGTCACATGTCACATGTCACATGTTTATACCTTGCCTTTGCGTCTTCAAATTTGGTCAATTGAAAGGGTGATGAGATTGACATCAACCTCCATGGAATTTCTTATTGGATTTTGTTGTCCAAAAATACTATCATCTGTATATCCCTTTCATCAAATCATTTCAATTCATCAATTCATCAATTCAAACTCTTGAAATTTGATCTAACGGTTACAAATAAAAAATCATTTTTAAAATTATAATAATTTTAACCCTTAATTTAATTTTCAAAGACACAAGTTGATAGATTTAGAGGATTTAATGAAAGAGATTAGGAGATGATGTCTTCCCAAATAAATATCAAATAAAGTTAACAAAAAGAGAGAGTATTTTTACTTTGTTGAATTTTAATCTCAGCTGATTTGAGAGAGCTGAGAGAAGAAGCAAAAAGCAAACAAAACAAGATCAAAAAGGAACAAAAAAGTTGTCTTTCTTTCCCATTTGAAACTTGTGGACTGGAGCCTCAACCCCAAATTTTCCCATTTCCCGAACACTCTCGCTCTCTCTCTCTCTCTCTCTCTCTCTCTCTCTCTCTCTCTCTTTCCAGCCCTGGGATCTGTCTTCTTTCTCTTCAGTCTGCAAGAACAAAGCTCAAAGGTAAGAACTTTAATGAATTTTCCATCTGGGTATTTGAATTTGTTCATAAAGATGCCTGCTTTATGTGATTCTGCTGGTTTTGTTAAGTTGTTTGCTTATATCAGAATTCAAAGTTTCTTGAAATTCTTATAAATACATCTATACTCTCAATCAAACTAATTTACAGCCACTTACGATTTGGATTACAAGTTCCTACTTTTTCAGAATCAAGAATTATTGCTGAATTTTGATCTTCTACTTATAATTTCTTGTTCTTTTTGCGGTAAATTAAAATGTTTATATTTAATATATATTATATAATTGAGTAATTATTAAATTTCCATCTACCAAATTTACTGCCTTTGGAATGGAAGGTGAGGGATGTGGGGCAATTAGCTGGAGCCTGGAAAGTCTTCATTTCCAACAGATGTACATGTACTGCACTCCCTTTCCGCGGATTCAGATTCAGATTTTTTTTTCTTTTTTTTCCTTATCATTCCGACCAAAAACCAGAAGATTCCTTTTCTTGGTTTTTAGGACAGTTTATGGGCCCATAAAACAGTGTGTCGGCCCATTTTTCAGTTCTGTAGGCCCAACTGAACTTGGGCTGTGTTGCCCTCTTGGAGTCCAGCTTTGTTGGCATTGTTTGATGGTGTGTAAATCACTTGAGTTAGCCAAGTTGGCATGTGCCAGTCTTTTGCACTCGAGTTCGAATTCTCGTCCTATAGATTAAAGTCATTTAGAATATCGTTTTGTCAGAAAAAACGACATATATGGTAATCTATCTATACAATTATCCAGAGAATTGATCGAGTGGAGTTTTTATTTTTTTTAGACACATGCTTTGATGTGTGACTCCTAGTATTTAGGTGAAGTGTGTAACTTCTGATTCGATTTTTTGACATTAGATGTAAATATTCTAGCGGAAGTATCAACTCGAAGTTTCAACGATATTAGCAAATGGCTAATTCTTTGGTAAGAACTGAAATTCCATCAAACTCCGCCTTTGCTAATTCTGCAGATATCTGTTGTAGTTAGAGAACTGAACAATTTGTAGACAAATGAGTTTGAGTTTAATTTTATTGTGTCAAAATCAAACTAAGACGAATGACAGATCAACCCTGCAACAACATTTAGGTTATGGGAAAAACGAGCGTTGTCAACTTAAACATGGTTAGTGGGATGGTGGTACATTAAGGCACATACTGTTAGCATCACGAAGGTTTAACGTTGAATGAAATAGTTGCATCTTAGAGTCAAGCATCTAAATAGCGATGGTCTTTCACGGATCAGGCATAAGATATCTTGTTTTTATATTTCAGGTTGAGTCCAATAAGACTATGAAGAGGTTAGAATCAAGAAAGTCTCGTTCATGGTGGTGGGATAGTCACATCAGTCACAAGAACTCTAAGTGGCTTGCAGATAATCTCGAGGGTGAGCAACAAACACCTATTTCGGTCTTATTTATAACTTTGTAAGTGTATCTATTTACTTATTTTTGAAATGTCATTTGCAACAAAGGCATAGGAGAGAGATGTCTAATGATGAATTTCCCCAGTATTACGCTTCATATCTAGTTTCTCATAGAAAATGAAAAATACTATGCCTGGGTTAACTTTAAAATAACAGTAATCCGTTTATAAGATTTCATTCAGCTCGACCTAGTTAAATTCGAGCGATGGTATTATAATTGGTTTTAACTTATTTACGAGGAATTCTGGGTTAAGTCAGATTTGTTTTACTATTTTTGGCTTAACGCTGTTTTTTCCCATTTTCTTCTTATTTGTTAATGCAAAAGTATGAGTAGAAAGTTTATTGTTGAGAGGAAACATCTTTTTGTTGCGTCCTTTAACGACATTTGTGGCATTTTAAGCTGAGATTTGGGAAAATATCAGTACCAAGGTTTTCTTGTTGCACATTCTAAATGAAGGCATGATTAAAATGGGTAAGGCGAACTGCGGTTGTATAATTTTAGCGTTACTTATCCTGATCTAACGGTGTAGGTGTTATTCGACCCCAACTACCCAAACCGGTGGAGGAAGTTGGTTTTCCAAATTATGCATGTTTAAATATCTCTAGAGTTGATTTTTTGGTCAAAGTTCTAAAGTGTTGATTGCTATAGTCAATTATTCACCAAAATGCCTCTCAAGAAAATGACAAAACGATCTTTCTCCTCAGAGATGGATCGGAGCATCAAACGGATGTTGAAGCTGATCGAAGAGGATGGGGATTCATTTGCAAAAAAGGCTGAAATGTATTATCAAAAGAGGCCTGAATTGATTGCTCACGTTGAAGAGTTTTATCGCTTGTACCGGTCCCTGGCCGAACGTTATGATCATGTGACAGGAGAATTGCGGAAGAATGCACCCTCGGATCTCCAATCCCAGAGTTCATGCCTTTCTGACATTGGTTCAGAACTGCCATCTGCATTGCCATCTCCTGATGTCCAACCCGGAAAGCTAGGTCGTCATAAATCTGGCCCTCGTGCTGCTGGCTTTGATTTCTTCCTTGGCCCTGGTGGAAACAGCTCAGATCATTACCAGAAAGAGGGAGACGAATCATTTTCATTTACCGATTATTCTGAGCCAGAATCTGATGATTCTTCAGTCAACAATTATTCAACTCCCTTGTCAAATGGTCTTGATCAAGGGCAGACGAGAAAGATAATTGAGTTGGAAATTGAGCTTCGTGAAGTGAAGGAGAAGCTTCGGATGCAGCAGGAAGAGAATGTGGACAGTTCATTCATGGGTGCAAAACCTGATCATACCGAAGAATTTCCTGCAAAAATTGCAGAATATGAGCATGAGCTGACAAGCAGAAATGAAAAATTGCGCGAATCGGAAGAAGAGATTGCCAGGTTGAACATCAAGATCAAAAGGTACGAGTCTTCGCAACATAATAATGGTCTTAAGCTTGCACTTGAACCAGAGTCTGCACAACAGAATAATGGTCTTAAGCTTGCACTTGAACCAGAGTCTGCACAACATAATAATGGTCTTAAGCTTGCACTTGAACCAGAGCCTGCACAACATAATAATGGTCTTAAGCTTGCACTTGAACCAGAGCCTGCACAACATAATAATGGTCTTAAGCTTGCACTTGAATTTTCAAAACCGAAAGAGGCCAAGATACATGAGGGTGCAAGAGACAGGGAGATAAATGAACCGTCAGAGATTCATAAAAGGGTCAGTGGGTCGGGAGAAGTTCAAGACAGAGATAGCAAGATTGAGGCAATGGTGAAAGAGCTTAGAGCCGCAAAAGATAGACTTCAACATTCAGAAAAAGAGGTTGCAAGTTTGAGACAGCAACTTGAGAGTAATAAACCCTCTGAGGAAATCCAACAGTTGCAGGGTCAGCTTGAATCCGCTAAGAAGGATATTTCTATGTGGAAAACGAAGCTCAACACAGAGAAACGAGAGGTGTCCAAGCTGCAGGAACGAATTTCAAGGTTGAAAGGTAGTTTAATAGACCGAGATAATGAAGTCATGGATTTGAAAATCGCAGTATCTGATGCCGAGGAGAAGATTTTCCCTGAGAAGGCACAGGTTAAGGCTGAAATATCTCGATTGCAATCAGAACGGACACATTTAGAGGAGCAGCTTAAAGATTGGGAATCACGTGGTCGTTTGTTGGAGGATGAAATCAGACAGATGAAAGCTGGAAAAGCAGAAATGGAGGAGAGACTTAAAGGCAAAATCGAGCAGTTGAAGGCGGACATCCTTGAGAGAAGCAACCAAATGGAGAATTTAAACAAGACCCTTGATGCAATGAAAACAGAAAGAGATGAGCTTAGCACCAAAGCCGCTATGCTACAGGCAGAGGTGAGTTCAAGAGACGATCAGATCAATGAGATAAACAAGAATTTGCAGCAAATGCAGACGGAACATCAAGAACTGCTCAATGGGGCTGAAGGGGCGCGAAAACTGGTGGAGGAGCTGACAGAAAGAGCGAAGGAACTCGAGGAGGAGATTCAGAGGCAAAGAGTCGTGATCATGGAAGGAGCTGAAGAAAAACGAGAAGCTATAAGGCAGCTGTGCTTCTCGCTCGAACATTACAGGAACGGATACCATATGCTTCGACAAGCTTGTATGGGAAACAACAAAAGAGTTCCAGTTTTGGCAACTTAAGCTAAATATAAAACATGCGGTCATCGTTTGTATATTACATGTTTTTTCAGTGCCATTTTCTATAATCTCTGGCCGGAAATGGCCAGCCGAGTGATGAGCTATAGGCCATGCTCTCTCATGGTTGTATGAATGCGAGGTTTATGTTCTGTAGCATTAGTATAGATATAGAAACAGAAGGGTCCCGTCAAAGGACCCATTTGAGTCACTAATTTGCCCTCAAAAATGGTGGAGAGGGCAGAAATTTGTGTGATAATTTTAGTTTGGTGTATGGTTTTGGGGTTGAAATTTGGTACAATTGAAAATGTGTTTGCAAACTTTTGACACATGATTGCGTGTTGAAAATGTGTGGGAAAATTTAGAAAAAGGCCTTCGGACTTTGGATCTTGTTCCATTTTACCTGCCAAACTTTTCATTTCTCCCAAGTCAGTTTTTTCTTTTTTTCTTTCCAGCGGTGTGTACCAAGGGCAGGGACGTGTAATGCACATGATATTTTTACATGCACATACACTAACAAAATGCCACATTCACAAGAAAAACTAGTAATCTTGGAATTAAATCTTAGACATTCATTGACTTTTTGTATAATGTAGAAAATAGATGAAAATAACTATCAATCTGACGAAATAACATAGAATAAATTAACTCAAATTGAATGATTAGTGGACAAACCAGTAAACTTTGTGCTGAAATTTATCTTCTAAACAAAAAAGATTTAGCTAAGTTAACTAAAATTTGAACGGTTGAATTTATTTAGCTATTGGCACTTTGCAATTTGACCAAAAAAATCAAAAATACACGTTTCGCGCCAGGAAGGGGTCGAACCTTCGACTTTCTGCTTAGGAAACAGACGCTCTATCCACTGAGCTACGGGCGCTTGTTGTTGATACTAATCCTTTATTAATTTTTCTTAAACGTCTAACGCTCTTACCAAATGAACCCACAGAAGTTTCTTTTCCTCAAGGTACCGTTTAGTACATGGGACGGGACGAAACAGAGTGAGACGGGGTGTTCCACGAGACAAATTTTGGGTGAATTTTTGTTCCTCCTCACCCCCTGAAACGACTCGTTCCACATCCGTGGAACACAAAAGTATAACCTTTCCGTCTCATTCTTCTTCCTCCTTGTTTCCATCCGAGGGCATCTTTGCTCCCTCTCCATTCCGTCCCGTCATGTCCCGTCCCGTTCCATTCCATCCCGTTTGCAATACCAAACAATACCCAAAGGACACAATTTTGTTTTTTCTTTCTTTACGAAACCAAGTGTTCAAAATGATGTCAATTTTCTTACAATTTTCCTTCTAGATATTTCTGCTTATGTTCTAAATCTTTCTCCCTTTCGCCGGAGAAATTCTCAAGTAAGATTTCCGCATCCGACTGTCTCTCACGAAGGAGAAATATTGAGTAACAGTTGTCATATTAATAGCGCACTCAAAACGAGTGAAACACTCCACAGACTCACATCCAAGGGCACCAAGTTGGGAGTGGCTCCGACAACCTTCCGAAGAATTTATGCTCATGCTGGTCCCTTTCGAGTTTTAATAAGCTCAACACATGAAACTCATGAAAGATAGCACCAGTGCAAAGATTTTGTTTTAACCTCGGCTATCTTATTTAACTTCACGTACCTGACATAAGTTATATTTTTTTTGAAATTGCTCTTGAAAAGACCAAAATGTTATTTGACGATAAAAAACGTTTTTGACCACGCCTAGCTAAAAAGCTTCAAACAACTTTGGGATCTTAAAAGCACTCTTCGTTGATAATCATTGCTTACCAAGTGCTTTTTTCAGTAAGTACTAAAAGTTTGTTTCCATAAAAATTTCGACATGTTATTAAAGAAAATCACTTCTAACAAACATGTTTACCAATGAAGTGCTTCATTTAGAAACAGTCACATACTTAACCCAAGTACTTGACTCAAATCCATTACACATGAGATAAGCTGAAAGTTAAAAGTCTCCCATCAAACATTCTAAGTTCTACCATTTCATCATAATAATCAGTTTGATATTTTTTTTTAATTACTAAAAGCGATTTTAAACAAAATTGTTTTTGAGTTTTAAAAATAATCGAGAGTGTTGCTTGCTTCTTCAAGATTTACTTGAAAGATTTACTAAAAATTGGTTTTAAAAATATTTTCATAAAAAACGCGTCTTGTTATCTAGTCAATCAATTATTTTAAGGCTTAGTTTGGTACTGAGGTCATTCTAAAAAAAAAACTGGTATAAAAAAAAGCTAGGAACTTTTTTGTGTTTGGTAAACATTCAGCTTCACAGTTTTTTTCACAATTTTAGGTGAAAAAAAAGCCAAAAACAAAAAGCTGCAAAACTCAACTTTGAAAAACTGGTTTTTTTTCACATCTGTTTTTTTTTAAATAATCGAAAGTGTTGCTTACTTCTTCAAGATTTACTAAAAATTGGTTTTAAAAATATTTTCATAAAAAACGCGTCTTGTTATCTAGTCAATCAATCATTTTAAAGTCTAGTTTGGTATTGAGGTGATTCTGAAAAAAAATTGTATAAAAAAAAGGTGGGAACTTTTTTGTGTTTGGTAAACATTCAGCTTCAGCTTTTTTCATAATTTTGGATGAAAAAAGCCAAAAACAAGAAGCTGCAAAACCCAACTTTGAAAAACCGGCTTTTTTTCACATCTATTTTACATAAAAGTTTACCAAATATTATAATACTGTTTTTTTTTTCAAAAGCATTTTTACTAAAAAGTTTACCAACCACTCCACAGCTTTATTTCACGGCCGCTTATTTCCAGAGCCAACTTTTTTTCAAAGGACAACAGTACCAAACCAAGTCTAAATGCAGTTCTAGACGAGTCTTATATTCTAGCTGGCTTGAACAATATGTAGAATGTAGAATAATATGACGTCAAAAATTGAAAATTCATATGCAGCTAGAACAGAAATCACTATAAAATAGCTATCACAACTAAACCTCAAAGAACGTATTCAATTGAAAAAAAAAAAAAATTTAGTCCTTAGGAAATTCCAAAACAAGCAAATTATTGAAACAGATGGGAAATTAGAATCTCTCCTCTGATTAGTTGGCTCATTGAAACTTGAAAACTGCGTTCCCACAGATCCAGCAACATCGTGAAAATTATTGGCCTTCAGCCGAAGCAGGCTTCTCGAAAAATGTCTTCTTTATCCAATCAAACGGCTGTAATTTTTTTTTAAATTAAAAAAAAAACCATTAGATTCATAATATTTCTGAAATTTTCTAATTTTTTGCTCAATCTAAGGATTTACTGGGAAAAAGATATAAATAAATATGCGATTTTTGATAAAAATAAATAAATAAATTGGGGATGAGAGGAATTGAAGTGGGAAGCGAGAGAGAAAGGGGGGCAGACCTGGACGAACCAAAGAGCGCCGGTGCCGGCCGCGACGCCCCACATGGCGGCGGCCTTTACATCGGAGGATTGAGGCACCGGGAGCTTCCAAAAACGCGCAGCGAGTCCACCTGCCATTTTTTGGATCTGAATTCACAAGAAACGCAACGAGGAGAGCAACTATGACGGCCGCAAAGCAAAGCGATTTTGAACAGGCTGCTGCGTTTGAGGTCACCGAGAATATTTTATTAATTAGGCTATTTACATGTTACATCCACGTCTTTTTGAAATTCACAAAATAACCCCTAAAGTCATTAAATGTTATATATTAGACTCTCAGTCCTTCTAACTATCAAGTTAACTACTATTTCTTAACGTTTTAATCATGACGACGAGGTTATATCGGCATGTTTACTTAACACAAATGAGGTAACCAAGGAATCAGAGAACTTAGAATTAGAGGAACTAAAGAAAGGGAATCAAATAAACTAGCTCTTGGGTTGATCAAATTTTTTATCTTAAGGTATTTTAAATACCAATTTTAAGGGAAAACTCGCACTCTTCCAATTATATATTAATAAACACAGAAAAATTACAAAATGAAATGATTCTCATACCCATATTTTAATAAACGCAAAGAACTCAACAATCAAAATGATTTTAATCCCTTTTTTTTTGCGAGTAAAATGCATTTTAGAGTAGTCAATGCCTTTTCACACTTGCAACGTCCACTTTAGGTATCCTAACATTAGAACATCAAGTTTCTAAAGCCCAACAAGCTTTAATTGTTTAATCACAAAATGCAAATTGGAAATTACGATGGCAGTGTACCTGTGTCATAAAAGTCCTCTCTTTGGAGTTTGGAAAGGGCTTGTATTGCTAGCTGAAGTCGAAGTCATATTGCCTGAAAATAGAGTTTTGCGCGTAACCCTAGAATCGGCATTCGTTTCTTAAAGGAGCTATCACTTACAATAAACAGTAGACAATACGAAACAACAGATAAACGCCACCGGTAATCAAAAGCACTTTCTGCAAAAGCATTTAGAGCAAGGATGAATCACATTCAACAAATGTCTGGCACAAGATAGGACCGAAACCGTGAGATTGTTTATTTTATTCTGCTACAGACGTCTCAGGTAAACATCATGTTTAAGATTATACAATGCAAAACCTACGAGCCAACCCTACGATCTCTAAAATTGTCAAATCGTTCATCCTTGGTACAGATACTGGGTACACTAACAATGTAAAACGACAGAGCTGAAACGCGGGCACGTACAAGGAACTGCCCGTATTCAACACCTTTGTAGTCCAAGCCTCAAGTCAGAAGCAACATGCCTCTATCATTTTACAGAGGTTGCAAGACAAGCATGCGTAAAGCAGCACAGGCATGTTTCCGGCCGACAGAGGCCACAAGCTGTGGATGGGCAAAAGGGGAGACTGCGAGGGAACGAAGGAGGGGTAGAGAGAGTCGGGGCACTTCTATTCTAGCTTCCACAAAACTACTTACCAACGTCAATCTTGAATCCCCGAGAGCGAATCTTTGCTTGTTTTTAAAAACCCACCGAGGGTAGACTTCATCAATCGTCCCAAGCACTATCTGCTGCCCCTTCTTTTTTATTGTTCGAATCCGCAAACATGAACCGATACTTGTCCTCAATGTTTACTGATGTTGGTCCTGCTATTGAGCTTTTGGAAGCAACCCTAGCTTGCTTTTCAGCAGCTGCTGCTTCTTTTTCTTTCCTTCTTGCAGTCTGATAGTCAATAGCAGAAGTTGTCAAAGCTTATAAACACGCGACACAAAAGTTTCTTTACTTTCTACCCAGATTATTTAGCAATGAGAAAGAAATTCTGGGCGCTAGTACGATGCAAAAGCAATGACTGTTGATAGTATGTCTCAGAATCAATACCTTCCCAGTTGCGAAAGCCACAGCATTCCCAGATCCAGCATCTGATATCGCTTTCTTTATATTTGCCACGAGGAACTACAGTGTGCCATCAATAATCAAGAATAAAGAGTTAAATTCTGCTAATGGAAGAGATAGTGGAGAAGCAGCAGTAAGAAAAGGTGGAGAACTGGGTACCATATCACGATCTGTGTAAAAGGACGTAGATTGTCCCATTGATCCTGCTCTTCCCGTCCTTCCAATCCGGTGTACATAATCTTCCATGCTCTATATTGAGGTAGCCATAACTGAAGCTTCAGGTTTGCTATTTCACAACAAAATTAATAGCGACTGAAAAGACCAGGCTATTGAGATGCTATCACATGATAGCAAAAAGACTTATGATCACAAATTGACGCTATTCAAATACCAAAGGTAAGAATTGCCCAATTTATAGCCAATTCTCAGATAAGTCTCTAAGTTGGGTTAGTGGATTCCAGTTATAAATTGACCAAGAGGCCTTCCTTCGCAACCACCTATACCTTTGGAAGATCCAAATTGATAACATGTGCAACTCCTGAGACATCCAAACCGCGAGACGCAACATCAGTGGCAACCTGGACACAAGGTCTCAATCAGATACATGCTGATTGGTGATGTTAAAGCTGCCTTGTATTCAAGCAGAATCAGACAAAGATGAACAGATATAAAAGAAAATGTGAATTTATAGAGCACGAGATGGTGATGTACCAAAATACTGGTAGTGCCTTTTCTAAAATCACGTAGAGCAGCCTCTCTTTCAGTTTGTGTACGACCACCATGAAGAGCAACTGCATGCAACCCTTGTGCTACCAAAGCTTCAGCAACTTCGTCACATCTCGTCTACATGTAAACCCAAATTCAATGTCAAATTTCGCTTTTGTCCAAAAAGAGTTTGTAACGAGAGAAAATTAAGTCACACAGGAACTTGTCCATCAGTTATTTATACCCTTCACCTTTAATTATACGCTTGAAATGATGATCGTCACAATCAAATAACAATAAATTATGAAGCAAAATGTACCTTCCTTTCAACAAACACAATCGTTAAGGGAAAGGGATGGCCAGTTCCTTCAACCCGAGATGCCTCTTCTACGAGCAAAGCCAATAGCTGATCAGTCTACACAGACAAAGCACAGTTATCAAATTAAAATGAGGCCAATAACTCTCCCAATAAAAGCAGTGGACACGTTAAAAACTACATAGGTAATACAAAAGATGAGCTGCGAAATATGGTTGCCAAAGATGATAAGATCATCGTCAAGCACATAAATACGCAGAGGGAAGTGCCAAATATACATAGAACAACTCTCCACACCATAGGTCTAGCACTAAATTCCTAGAAACCTCATCCCCACAACAAAAGGAAAGAAAAAGACCAAGACAATATCACAGACTGCGGAAAGAAAACATGCGGAGAAACCAATATTGCTCAAGTCTGGGTGAACCAACCTTCTCACTCTCAGGAACCTTCTCCAAAGTCTGAGTCACATTTGCTGTAGGGCTACTCACTTTTCCCACCTTCACTTGCATTGGTTTAGTCAAGTATTCCTGAAGACAATAAAAACTAGAATAAGTTTCAATGAAATTGTGCATGACAGTCTAAACTAAACGCAGAAAGAGAGAGAGCATAATGATCTTAATGGTATTTCAATACTAGCTTTTGTATATTAGAAAATTACAAAGTACAAATTCATTCCAAACTTGGTATAAAATTATTTCGAATTAAAGGTAGAACGTATTAGTTGCTATGCATACAATCAAGACTGTCTGGTTTGTAATATGTCCATCTAGTAAGTAAAGCGATAAACAGGTCTATATATCAATCTGCATGTTGCAGAGCAAAATAACATGAAGTGACCACCAGAACAAGTGCTAATGGCTCATATGTGTGTCAGGAAAGAGATAAGGCCATTCAGACCCCTAAATCATAACAGGAAAAATAAGACGTAGAAACATAAGATTGTAAAATGAGAAGG